GTGTATTTTTGTATTTTTTGCGTATTAGCTCTAAGTTTTAACTTTTTGTGTATTTTATGTATTTTTGTGTTTTTTTGTTTTTGTGTTTTTTTTTTGTGTTTTTGGTTTATTTTTGTGTATTTGTGTATTTGTGTATTATCTCTAACTTTGTGTATTTTTGTGTTTTAATGTTTTTTGTGTTTTTGTGTATTTTTATGTATTAGATCATTTTTGGGTTTTAAAGATAAACAAAAAAAACTAGAAATAAAAAGAAATACCTCGTTGAAGCGGAGACAAGCTTCCCAAGGATTAGAATCGAAACAAAATATTCCTAAAACATTAAGTAAAGTATAAAACGATTAGTAAACTTGGAAACCTAACTAATCTACAAACAAAAGTTACATGCATCCCTCAACATTATATTGTTTAGATTCAGATTAAGATTTGATATAAAGAGTCAACAATAAAAATCAATTTTTGCAATCCAAAAATCTCTAATCTTAAAGCGTAAACCTATCAAGCTATCAACATCTTTGGAAATAGACTCGATGATGAATCTGTAGCCTCTCAAATCTCAATGATCATTACGAATAGAAAACAGTCTTGAGAACTACCAAACTGGAGATATTTACAAGTCAATCAAAAGTTAGGAGAAGAAGTACCTTCAAACGGATCTGTTTTGTCTTCTCAACAGATCTGTGTTCAAGGAAAAAGCAAAGCTCTTTCATATTAACAACTTAAGTCCTATCTCAAGGCTAAACTAAGAGAATTTCCAGATTATTAGACATACCACAACTTTGTATCTCGGGAATAACATGTCCAGATTAGTAGACATACCCAGAAACAGCATGCTTCCATCTTTTGTTTGAGAAATGTCATGTCAAAGAAGCATGTCAATATACACAAAAACTAAGACACAAATAAGCAAAAACTAAGACGCAAATAAGCAAACCAGTACCTTAATAATTGCAACAGATGGTTTTTCACTTTTGTCCTCAGGAACCAACAGCACCGGATACTCCTACACAAAAAGAGAGTGTAAGAGAGACTATAAGCAAATGGTCTCTAAGGTCTCAAGCATTAAGTCAACCAAACACTATATGAATACTCATGAAAAACGTATATATGATCATCCTAAACATTCAGGTGCAAGAGAAATCTGAAGTAAAAGAAAAACTTTCAAAGTTTCTAGAAACTAGAAATTTGAACTCCAATAACGAAAGAGAAACATTCCTCTTAACACATGCATGAGTGACCAACAAATAACAACAACCATGAGAGTATAAGACTATTCTTTAACAAATTCTTCTGTTTAAAATACCATAAAAATCAGAAGAGAGTGTAAGAGAGACTATAAGCAAATGGTCTCTAAGGTCTCAAGCATTAAGTCAACCAAACACTATGAATACTCATGAAAAACGTATATATAATCATCCTAAACATTCAGGTGCAAGAGAAATCATGAAGTTAAAGAAAAACTTTCAAAGTCTCTAGAAACTAAAATCTGAACTCCAAAAATGAAAGAGAAATATTCCTCTTAGCACATGCATGAGTGACCAACAAATAACAACAACCATGAGTGTATAAGACTTATTTTTAACAAATTTTTCTGTTCAAAATACCATAAAAATCAGAAGAGAGTGTAAGAGAGACTATAAGCAAATGGTCTTTAAGGTCTCAAGCATTAAGTCAACCAAACACTATATGCATACTCATGAAAAACGTGTATATGATCATCCTAAACATTCAGGTGCAAGAGAAATCATGAAGTAAAAGAAAAACTTTCAAAGTTTCTAGAAACTAGAATCTGAACTCCAAAAAATAAAAGAGATACATTCCTCTTAACACATGGATGAGTGACCAACAAATAACAACAAACTGGAATTAAGAACCAAAAAACTGAATCCGTATAACCAAACATAAAAGGCTTTAAAACACACACTTGATTATGCAGAATAACAGAAACAGCAGCCAAGGTATATATTATAACGTACCTTCGCAATTTGATTGACACTGATCTCGTATTTGACAAGGTATATATCTTTGTGCATCTCGCAACCTGGATAGAGAAAAACGTTTACCTTAACCCCTTACAGTCACCATGAGATAAGAAGACGTTTCAGACAAATATCTAGGAAAGAAAGCCTACCTGCAGAGGTTGCTCCTCTTGCATTATTTGCTTATCAAATACAAGATCCCATTGACTGGGACGAGCTAAACCAGTATCAGACTCCTTGATACCTGCATGTTTCCATATAAGCAACCAATAAACATTTTAGTCATTCCGTAAACAGAAGTCATTAGCTAATCAAAGTAAGCCCAACATTTGAGCAGCAAAGAGTGTGCACATACCACATAGATCGTTGAACTTCTTGGCGAGTTCCTTAAATCTCTTTCTCAGCTTTCTTGATAGGTGCAGAGTAAGGCCCTAACCCCCTGCATAGGTATGACATATACGAAGGTCAGCATATGGAGAGAGCAGATACACGAGCAGATACAGCAAATACTCAATCATCTAAGTAGAAAATAACACAGAATTGAACTAAGTAGAACAATCAAGCACATCAAAAAGCACCTAAGAACGAATCTAGCTTCAAATTACTCAGGAGAAAACATCAAATTGGTTTGCAAAGAGACGAAACCCTCACATTCAAGAAACCAAAAAGCGCTTAGTAACTAAAACCCTAAATCAACTCGCTTTACAGAAGAGAGCTTTACAGAAGAGACTAAGATGAAGATAAAAAACTGTACCGATTTGGGTTTGAGACGTGGTGAAGAAAGAAGCAATGCGGCGTCACGGCGATGAATCACCGGAGGAATCTGATCCCAACAACTCCTTCTCGTGGAATCCAAACTCATCCTCATCTCAACAAGATTCTTCTTTTTCGTCGTCGGCGAAACAGAGGCCACGGTGAAAGGAACCAGCAAGTCGCTAGAATCAAGATCACTAGGGTTTCCAACACAGAGCCTCCGCTTGGGGACTGGTTTCAACCCACGGATTACAGGAACAGAGCAACCTTTCTCAATGTGTAGACCACCGCGAATGTAAACAAACTGCCGTATTTGGATTTCATCGGAACGTAAGTGGCGTGGGGAGAGTCAGAGACTTTGACGAAGAATGCTTCGCTACCATGATCATTGGTCGTCTCTAATCTCAACCTCAATATCTCTCACCATGATCATTGGTCGTCTATAATCTCAGCCTCAATATCTCTCACCATGTTCGCCGGATTTCGAATCGGAGATTTGAGATTCAGAGGTTGAGAAATTGAATTACGATTTTGTGTCTTGCCGAGAAGAACGTTGCTCTATTTCTGTTTTGTTGAATTCTCGGGAGTTCCTAATTCTAGACACTTTCCCTTTTTCTAATATAATCCTCTACTCTTAATGAATACCCAAGTTTTCCCTTACCAAACCGATTCAAACCGATTCATCAAACTAATTTTTAATTAAATTAATTATTTAAAAAATCCAAAATTCCTGCCGTCAAAACAAACAAAAAAAACTTCAAAATTGGTTCCATCGTCGCTTCTTCCTCCCCAGTCTTTCACCATTAAAACTCAAACTTAAATTTTTAAATCATATCATTTCTTTTTCCTATTACTTTTAGCTTAAATCGATTTGGGTTATTGTATTTGAATTTTAGAGGTTTTAATTAGATTTGAAACTTGTGTTGACAATTAATGGACATTGACTTGATAATCATCTATTATGGGTCGATTAAGGTACTACTGGTATTTTACTATGTGCTAGTTTAGTTTTAGTTCTATCTTTTTTAGAAAAAACACAGACTAACCTTCCGAAAGCATTAAAGACAGCCATAGAGAAACTTGGATAGTTAGTTTCAGAACCAAGATAAGATTCAAGATTAGTGTATTTTTTAAATATATATGTACTTTATGTTTTTGTATAAGTTGGTAAAACTCGGTCTTGTAATGGTGCAACTACGTATGTCTTTGCTCGTATTCAGTTTGTAAAATGTGGTACAACTAACGGTACAACTACGACCAATTTCTTAAAAATTCATAGGTACCTTATAAATAGATTTTTTGGAAAATGTTAATAATCTTTCATATTCACTTTATAAATTGAAATTTGTGTGACAAATCTTCTAAGATAACATCAAAAGAAAAAAAGAAGAAGAAGATAGTGTTCATTAAATTCATTTGTATAAAAGAAAGACCTTATAGTTTTAAGATGACTTTCTTATTGTTAACTCAATTACATTGCAAAACACACAAAAGTAAGGTTTTGATTCATATTTTTGCATAAAGATATGGGAAATGTAATAAAAATAAGTAAAATCTTCAGTCCAACTACAAAGGTTTTGTTTGAATAAAAGTATAACTGGTTATACTTAAAAATCTCAAAAAATACAACTATATATAAGAGAGTACAACTTGGAAACTAGGAACAACTATGTTCATTTCTGCGGTGCCACGTGTCATGTTTGGCGACTCCATGTGTTTACGTGCAGTTTATACGATGTGGCCCACATTTTCCCCATTTTTTGAAAAAAAATTCTAAATAAAAAAAAAGAAAGAATTACTTAGATGGACCACATTTTAGGTGTATTGACGCAAACCATCAAAAACTTTGTTTTATCCTTAAATGTTTTTTAATTACCAGCGTGCCCTTTTTACACGTTACCGGAAAAAACTAATTACAGAAAATGCCACTGCCACGTCAGACAAAAAGGCGCGTGCCACCAATAACTCAGCCATAACGTACGTTACGGCTGAGTTATATCACGTTATGGCTGAGTTCTGGGACAACGGCTGAGTTTCGGATCAACGGTTGACTTAGGATCATAACTCAGCCAACAGTTACGACTGACTTATAAAAATCTGGTTGAGTTATGAGAAAACGGCTAATAACTCAGCCGCCGTTACAGCTGAGTTATAGTCTGATGGTTGAGTTATCAGAAGTTTGGCTGAGTTATGTTATCGACACGGCTGACTTAACTTTCTCCGGG